TGCACTTCGGCGTGGGTGACAAGAGTGAAACTCAGTCTCAAAAGAGACAAACAAACAACAAACAAACAAACAACAACAACAAAAACAATTAAGCTAAAAAAAAAAAAAAACAGAAAACAACAGATCTTTCTAATGTCCTGGGCAATGAGAGAGAGAAGAGCCCAGCTTGTTAGTCAGCAAGCTCATTTGTTCATTTGTTTTGAACGTCCCGGTAGATGGTATCCAAGCCTCAGAATCACTAGCATAATCTAACAGCTGACTGATTCAACAAGGAAATCAAAGCCTAGTAGGGGCAGACGCCCAGGCTCACACACTCCCCACGAGCCTGGCTCTTCCACTCAGTGAGTATGTTGCCTTCTCCCAGGTCTCCCCCTGCCCACGTCTTTGCCACCTCCTGTGGGTCCTTCTTTGACCCGAAACTCACAGGAGGAGCACTCCCAGCTGGCCCCTGCACGTTCCTGTCCCCAGACAGAAGAGAACAGACCACCACCTGCCACCTTGTCCAGTCATCTCAGCACAGGGAGCCGCTCTGCCCTGGCCACCAGATGCCTCCTTCCAATCCAACATGGTTTTCAGTGGAAGGTTGAATTATAGGTGCTGCCTCCTTAATGTTATCAAAAGTAACTACAGTCGTTTAAAAAGCCAAGAAGTCAAACTTCCACCAATTAGTTAGGTAATTTGTTTCTTTAAGAGCCCCCACCATGAATTACCCATTAAATAAATATCTGATGCATTTACTGTTTCCTGCACCATCAAGCTGAAAAGGCAAATGAATGATAATTACACATAAATACACTCCAGTTCCATAGTACTCATTCCCAGGATCGGATACAATTTACAAATCCCACTGAGATTAACTCAGTAACGCAAGGCTCTCACCCATTTTCACGACAGGAAAGCTGAAGAAAATCAACAAGAAATATTGAGGTAGAAAACATGACTTTTGGACTACTAAGAATCCCCAGATATCTCATGTATTTATTTTGAATTGTTAATGCATGCTTACCATGCACCTGGGTTTAGGTTCGCAGCCCAGGGTTTTGACTTTCGATTACCATTTTTTCTGGGCTATCGGGTTTACAGAGGATGAGGCTGTTCATACAGGAAAATAACTTGGGAAATGCTTGGTTAGATACCAAAGGCCCTTCTGAACTTCTATGACATGAGTGTTCACCGAGAGCCACTTTAGGATGTTGTATTAGGCCATTCTTGCATTGCTATAAAACAATACCTGGGCCAGGTGTGATGGCTCACGCCTGTAATCCCAGCACTTTGGGAAGCTGAGGCAGGTGGATCATGAGGTCAAGAGATCGAGACCATCCTGGATAACATGGAAACCACATCTCTACTAAAAATACAAGTATTAGCTGGGTGTGGTGCACGCCTGTAGTCCCAGCTACTTGGGAGGCTGAGGCAGGAGAATTGCTTGAACCCAGGAGGCGGAGGTTGCAGTGAGCAGAGATCACACCACTGCACTCACTCCAGCCTGGTGACAGAGCGAGACTCCGGGGGAAAAAAAAAAAACACCTGAGACGGAGTGATTTATAAGAAAAGAGGTTTAATTGCCTCACAGTTCCGCAGGTTGTGTGGGAACCATGGAGAGGCTTCTGCTCCTAGACAGGCCTCAGGGAGCTCTTATCCATGGCAGAGGGGAAGGGGGAGCAGGTATCTTCCATGGCAAACGCAGGAGCAAGCGAGAAGCGGGGAGAGTGCTACACACTTTTAAACAACCAGATCTCACGCGAACTCACTATCACAAGAACTGCACCAGGAAGGAAATCCACCCCCATGAGCCATTCAGCCCCACCAGGCCCACCTCCAACACTGGAGATTACAATTTGACATGACACTTGGGGCAGGAACACAGATTCAAACCACATCAGAAGTGGAAAGTTGACGGTGTGTGTCTGTGGTCCCAGCCACTCAGGAGGTTGAGACAGGAGGACTGCTTGAGCCCAGGAGGTCAAGGCTGTAGTGAGCCATGATCATGCAGCTACACTCCAGCCTGGGCAACAAAGCAAAAAAAAAAAAAAAAAAAAAAAAAAAAAAAAAAAAAAAAAAAAAATCAAAAAAAAAAAAAAAAAAAAAAAAAAAAAATGGAAGAAATTCAAGAATATTGCCAAGAACAAAGATCCTAGTAATTTTTTTAACCAAGCTGGAATGTTTCATGAAAATGAAAACCTTTATTCTGCCTAATATCCTATCTTATTAACTTGACAGAAAATGTTTCGCTTTTTCAGAAGAAAAAGCTCTTTGCTAAATGAGTCAATGTTTGCATGTTTTCTAATGAATTTAAACCTCAGAGCCCTTCTCTTCTCAGAGGCTGCCTGGAACTTGGGGTCCGCCAGACGAGCATGGCCCTCATCGTTCCGCTGCCTGCCCACGGTGTGACTTTTTCAGCAAATCACCTCGTGTTTCCAGCCTGTGCTCTCTGATCTGTAGAATGGGGAGCATTGCAGCTGCCCCGCGGGGCTTGCTATGAGGAATGAAGATGGTGAGTATGAAGCACACAAACCCTCAAGAAATCAGGCCCAAACCCTCCCAATGACACTCATCTCCAGGAGGAGCTCAGGGATCGGTCTCGATGTCCGTGAGCACCAGCCTACCCGGGCATCACACCCGCAGCTGCCATCCACAAACACGAGCGCAGCACAGATGCACAGCAAATGTGCTTGTGAGTGATCTGAGCCCACAGTGCCCATCTCCTGCCACTGGATTAGGTAGGACATTTAAAGAATTGCTTCTCTTTGGAACTACAGTTTTCTCTTAGAACTCAAATGCAAAGAAAGACCTCTCAGTATGGGGGCCACAGAAAATCTGCAACTCCGATTATTCTGCGATGTACAATTTTATTTCTGCTGATGTTCACGTGAGCTTGGGAAACAAGGGCTTCTGTTCTCGAATAATTAGAAGATGTCAGCCAGGCACGGTGGCTCACGCCTGTAATCCCAACACTTTGGGAGCCCAAGGCGGACGGATCACCTGAGGTCAGGAGTTGGACACCAGTCTGGCCAACATGGTGAAGCCCCATCTCTACTAAAAGTACAAAGATTTGCTGGGCATAGTGGTACCTGCCTGTAATCCCAGCTACGCAGGAGGCTGAGGCAGAAGAATCACTTGAACCCCTACGAGGCAGAGGTTGCAGTGAGCGGAGATCGCTCCACCACACTCCTACCTGGGTGACAAGAGCGAGACTCCATCTCAAACGAAAAAAGGAAAAAAGAAGATGTCTCCTCCAAGTGGAAATGGCAATGAGCTTGCCTTCTTGCCTTTGTAGCATAGTGAAGAATGGGATGTTCAACTTGTCACTTAATCACTTCAGGTTGCGGCTTTTAATCTATTAAATAGGGATAGTCACAAAACTGTTGCAAAGGATTAATGAGATAATATTTGTAAAGTGATTGGAGATAATATGATGAAAAGCACATATAAATACAGAGTATTACTATTAAGTCTCTAAGGAATAATAAAATGCGTAATGACACGTCTGTGGTAATCTATACTTAATTATGTAATTTTCTAATACCCAGAAGGTATGCACAAGCCTAGATGAGTAAATGGCATTGCATGGCATTCATTTCATGAGGTCACTGGCCATTAAAGTTTAATCATGTCCCATTAAAAAATAAAGACTTCTGTTTTTACTCTTTCCCAATACTTACTAATACGTGCATGCGGTAAGGTATGAAGTCATATCGATTTTTTAAAGAGAGAGAGGTTTCATATCAGGCTTAGCCAACTCTCTCCACCCATTCCCCATAAGCACCTGCCAGGCCATCACAAATGCCAGAGGTGTGGTCCCCGTCTTCCCTGGCTGGTGCTCTGACTGGGCAGCGAAGACCAGCCTATGTGAAGGATGGTGACAGACAGGTGCTGCACGACATCCTGCCGGGCTGCAGAGCGTATCTTTCAGAGCTGGGATCAGGAAACAACAGAAGCAGCCTCGTGAGGTCGGAGACTTGATTCCTGTCCTGTGCCCAGAGCCTCAACGCTGGTACGTAGGGAGCACCCTACAGGCATTTTTGGACACACAGCTGAGTGACTGGATGAATGAGGCCCCGCTGAACCCCAGGAATGCTCCCAGAGGAAAGGGCCCTGGGAGCCCCTGCAGTAGGGCTGAGCTGGCCGGGGAGGGCCCCTGTCACCAGGAGCAAGGCCCAGAGGGAGTCAGAGTGGTGCGGCTAGGGAAGAAAACCGGTTTGGCTGCTTCACACAGGGCCGGGGAGACACTGGTGAATCACAGAGGGGCCCACCCAGCGGCCTTGCAAGTCTGGCGGTTCTTAACTTGAACACCTTGAAGAGTCCTTTTGCCCAAATTTCAGACCCAAGAAAGAACAAAACCACATAGACCCCATCTCACCGTATCTTCTGCTTCAGACTCAAGAAAGAACAAAACCGCGTAGACCCCACCTCACCCTATCTTCTGCTACCACGGCTTCTGGCCACTGCAGTGCACACAGATACAAGGTGTCAGGTCCAGAAAACACCAAGTGCTTGCAAATGGAGCCCATGGGGCCTGCAGGACCCCAGACGGCAGCCGTGGCGACCACGGACGCACCCACCATGAGACAAACAGCCCCGGCCAGCAAAACAACTGGAGGAGGTCTCCCTGAGCACTCCAGTGACCACAGGCTTTCTGGATTTCTCCGGAGGACCTCTGGGTGCAGCTGAGGGTACCCAGTGTCCCTTAGCTAGCTGGTGAATTCAACAGGTGATGAACCAGACCGTCTGGAGTCAGACCCTGAGTCTGACCCTGACCCACCGGGGACCTGAGACAAATCATGAAATGGGCAAGACCTCTAAACACTAGCTTCATCTATTCGATGGCCTCCTGCAATGCCCAGGCCGTGCACGTGGAGACTCAAAGCTGTCCCAAGCGGCACTGGCCACGGGAATTAAGGGGCAGTGGACAGAGCACACACAGGGCAGGGAGTATGTGGGTGCACAGCTTTGGAAAAATCACTCAGCTGCTCCAAGCCTCAGTTTCTCCACACATGAGATGAGATTGTTGGATGAGTTTAATGGCTCCTCAAGTCCCAGTCCGTGAACCAGCTGCATCACAATTGCCTGGGACTCCCGTTTCTAATGCTGATGGGCAGGCCCCACTTCAGACTGGCAGGGCCCAGAGTCAGCGGCTGGAATGCTGTTCCCAGTTCCTGGTGACAGATGCACAGGCAGCTGGGTTTGGAAGTCAATGGGCCGGGTCCCTCCCTGCTCTGAACCCAGGGTTTCATTCATCTTAGCAAGTGCAGCTGAGGTGTAGAGCTCACTGAGGGGTGGCTACAGGCAGGTACCCACCACCCTCAAAGCTGCATCTGGCACGGTGGGTCCCCACCACCCTAAAAACTGCCCCTTGCAGGGCTGTCTGTTAGCTTCTTCCTTGACACGATGAGCTGCTGTTACCATCCATGCTGTTCACGCCACGCTGCACACAGGGTCCCTCAGGGGCCACAAGTCCAAGCTGCTCTGGGGCCACTGCGGCCTCAGATCCCAGGAAGAAGTGCGGGGCCTGCCCCCACTCAGCATCGGCTCCTTCTGTGCACCACTGTCCTCTTGGGTTTGTGCTCTGGAAGGAAGGCCAGCAACCGGAATGAGGCCTGTTCTTTTCTCCGAGGACATGTGCCCCTCCTTCCAGCCCCCTCAACTTCCCCCTACCCCCGCCCCACCAAAGCTCTGCTCACCCTTCTTTCCAGACCTCGTTGTTGACACCCCACTGTATGCAAGGCCCGTGCAGGCACGGGGGCAGGCACCAAAGCTCCATGAAGCTAAGTGAACTGCATCTCCACATATCCTGGTTTCCAAAACGCTGATGTGATTGAAGCACGCAAATTTACACGCTTGGCTCTCCTAAAGAATGCAATAGAGCTCCCGGAGCTTCCCAGGTGGAGGGGGCACCTGCTGACATGACCAGGGCATCTTTCGACCATGGGGACATCCTATGTGATGTGACCTGGTGATAGGGGGGCACCTGCTGACATGAGCAGGCCATCTTTCGACCATGGGGGCATCCTATGTGATATGACCTGGTGATAGGGGGGCACCTGCTGACATGACCAGGCCATCTTTCGACCATGGGGGCATCCTATGTGATGTGACCTGGGGATAGGGGGCACCTGCTGATATGACCAGGGCACCTTTCGACTATGGGGGCATCCTATGTGAACAATGCCCCTGGTGAGGGCGGCTTCTCCACACGCACTGAAGCAGGATCACACTGGGCCATCAGGGCACCGGGTCCCCCCCAGCAGCCCTGGCCCACACCGCGGCTCCCCTGGCTGAACCCCGACAGCCACACGTCTCTGTGGTCCCTCAGTCCTGAACGAGCAAAGCATCCCTCAGCTCCGCCTGGGCATTTGTCTTCTCTCAGGCAGGTGGAGCGCGCCACGGACAGCACAGTGCAGCCTTCACAAGATGAAGCGCAATTTTGAAGAGAAAGGGAAACTAGGTCTGGACGACACCCCACTAAGAAATTTTTCTCTCAAGGGTCTCAGATCCTCAGACAAAAATAAGCAGAGTGACATCAAAGTTAGGGGAGTTCTTCCACCCCCACCTCAGGCCTGGATTCATGATGTTTTGTTACATTCAGGTTCATTTTTATTGCAATGCATCCCTGGAAAGTCACCACCAAATAAAGAATGACACAGACCCCACACCCGTGGACGGAGCAGGACAGCAGGGGGAGGCCTGAGCAATGCTTCTGGGACCATCTCGGGTTCCAGGAATCCTTTTCCAGGCGGTTTTAACCAAAGCCCTGATGCCCATCCGTGCCGTCACCTCCTGGCTGGGAGCTGCTGCCCCTCTACGGTGCTACCCCAGTCTGCAGGGGCGAGGCCGGCTCTCCCAGCCCCACTTGCCCTGAGCCTGCACCCAGGCCCTCCAGCTGCTGTGTGGGGTTGGCCACTGGGGACACAGGCAGGACGCTGGGGGTGGAGAGGCCACAATCACGGTGGCCCCGTGGTGGTAGCTGCAGCCCTCAGCAGCACAGCCCCACGTCCATCGCTGCCCTCACCAGGCCCTATGACCCTGATAACCCCGTCCAGACTTGGCTCCTGCACTCAACCCTGCTGCTTCCGCATCCCACAGGGGCTTGGAGGGTCCCGTGCTGGCCTCTGCAGGGACCCACTCCCTAAACTTTCAGCCCTGAGTGACACTCCGTCTCCCACAGGACTCTGCCCAAAGCAGTCAGTGGTCACTGGCGCCTTTGACACCCTCCCATAAAGCTTTCCTGGAACACGCCAAGCCGTGGTGACCTTTCTCCTCTAAAGCCTCCTCTAAAGCTCCTCTGAGCCTTGGAACTCAGAGCCACCGCATGCCACTGTCTGGTGCATGACTGCACACCCCAGGCCCAGCGATCTCACCAGCTCCTCTGAGATCACGTTTGCATCCTCAACGCATAGTTCAGTATCCGGCATGGCCAGTGCTACACACAAACACACACATGCACACGCACACCAAACAATCACACAATGCACACACAAACACACATACCACACACAATGCACGCACAAACACACACCACACACCATGCACACACAAACACACACACAAAGACACCACAAATGCACATGCAAAATGCACACACACACACTACACACAGACACACACAAAATGCACACACAAACACACACAAAATGCACACGAAAATACACCACATATATACACACACCACGCACAAAAATGTACAAACATACCACACACACATACACACATGCACACAAAATACACATATACAAACACACCACCCCAAAACATACCACACACACATATTCACAGACATCACACATACATATACACACACAAACCACACACATATACGTACAACACATAGGTGCACAAAATGTGCACACAACACACCACACACACATATACAAACACAGATATAAGCTCCACACACACAGTTACACACACACACACACACAAACACACATGCTGGTCATATTTATTGAGTTCTGCAGTGGTTCTAAAAGATGTCCACAAACAATTCTCCATTGAGGAGGGGAAGCTTAGACCCTCCTGTTGAATGTGGGCACGACTTAATGGCTGCCTTCTAACAGACAGAAGTGATGGAAGTCATCCTGGGCCACTTCCAAAGCCAGGCCACAAAGGCACTGCAGCTTTCTCCTCACCCTCTCTGATCCCTCGCTCTGGGGAAGCCAGCTGCCTTATCAAGGGCACTGGGCATCCTGTCGTGGGTGCCTGCAGAGGAGCTGAGGCTTCTCCCGCAACAGCCCTGAGAGTGAGACTCAAAAATGGGTCTTCTGGCCTCGGTCAAGCCTTCGGGTGAGCATGGCCCTGGTCTACGTTCTTGACTGTGGTCTCCTGAGACTCAGAACAAAACTACCAGCTAAGCTGTTTCCGAATTCCTGGCTCACAGAAATAGTGTGAGGTGTTAAACATTTGTTGTTTTAAGCTGCTGGGTTTTGAGTTAATCTGTTACACAGAAATTGATCACAATTACAGGTTCTGACACATCAAAGCTATACAGAAAATCCATATTTTCCCTGATGACGGGAAATAGCAAAAAAGAAATAACCTCTGGTTGCAAAATCAGTTGCCTCCTGGAGCACCTCTCCCCACTGATGCCGCAGTTGTGTATGAGAGACGCTTTTTAGAGCAAAAGTTGAGATCCGCCTGCCTACTTGCCACTACCCATGTGCTGGGCTGGGAGAAAGCGATGTGGCCCAAATTAGGAAAACTGGGGATATGAACAGAGACGAAGAGAAAAGGAGAAGAGACTGTCTGCCTGGGGCCATGGAGAGTGGCCCCACTGCACCTCCTGCTTCTGCCTCTCTGGTACACAGAGATCTGCCCTCAAATAAGTGAGGAATCTGTGCCTTCACCAAAGGCGGCACCCACAAGCACCTTCCACAAAGCCCTCACCAAACACACAATCGAGATAAGTGTTCACGACAGAGCACTGAAGGCTCCTCACTTGGTCACCTTCCAGATCAGGGTGAGCAAATGCTTTCTGTAAACAATCAGAGAATGAATACTTCCAGCTTTGCAGGCTGTGTGGCTTGGGCCTCAAACTACTCAACACTTGGAGGTATTGCAAAGTGATATTTAGGTGGCAAGTGGTATTACTGGTAAAGAAAGAAGAAAAGGCACAGAAGACTACGGAGACAGAAGTGTCTCCCCTGAGCTGAGCCTGGAGGGCTGCAAGGAACCAGGCAGATGGAGGGGGTGGCGAGAGAGGGGAAAGGACACTAGGAAGGTGGAGGTGAGAGCAGTGGCGCTGACAGAGGATGGCGTTGAGGGGCCTCCAGAGTGGTGAGGAGATGGACCCAGTTGGAACCAGAGGTCCCACAGAGAAGCAGTGGACACCAGGGTTCTGGAGCTGGGAGGACATCGGCTGCTGTGGGCCAGAGAGGGCAGGAGGAAGTGTGGAGTTAGCTCTTAAGAAAATGAGGGGCCCACTGAAGGTCTAAATGGAGGGACACAATGTTCAAATCTGCACTGGATTGAGAAAGGAGATGAAAGGGACCTTGGCAATCAGCAGCAAGTGGGATGAGCTGTTGACAGAGGATACTGCTGAAGGCTTTCCATGAGCCCCAAGAAAATGGAGTAGGTGACCACAGGCCAGAACTTCCTGTGGAGCTCCCAGGCAAGCTTTGCGGATATTAATGTCCAGAAGGCCACCGATCTCTGCCAGAAATGCCACAGCCTTGCATTCAGGGTCCTCAGCCTGCGTCTTCCAGGGGAAGGTGGCATTCTTAGAAGAAGACTGGTGATATTGGCGTGCCATCCCACTTAATCCCACTTAAACCACGAGGCTAAGTGAGCATCACTATCCCCACCAGATCTGTGGGTAATGGTGGGAGGACACAGCCAGGATCACACACTGCCCTGGGACAGCGTCATCTTTCCATCCTTCATTGGATGAGCATTTGCTAAGCCTCTTAGGCCAGCCAGGCAGTGGGCTGGGCACCAGGCACTCCTCAGTGAGCAGAGACCCTCCCCAAGGTCAGCCCCATTCTTGTGGGAGAAATCAATTGAATAAATAAGCAGATGGTGGTGGCCGCCATAGGGGAAGAGCAGGGAGAACCAATGGGATGGAGCGGGGACTCTGAGAAAAGACCGCAGGTAAGTGAAGGAACAGCCACTTGAAGGTGTCTGGGGAAGAACATTCCAAGCAGATGAGCCAGCCAGCCAACCCCACCTACATGTTCAAGGGAGATAAAGAATGTCAGCGTGGCTGGAGAAGGGTGGGAGGGTGGGGAGAGGGTAGTGGAAAGTGATATCAAGGCAACAAGCCAACGGGACCCTGTAATCAATCAGCTCAGGCCCAGGATGGGAGGGACAGGGAGTGGGGCTTAAACAACAGAAGCTTATGTCTCCCAGATCTGGAAGCTGGACCTCTAAGATCAAGGTGCCAGCAGGGCTGCCTCCTCCCCAGCCCTCTCTCCCAGGGTCCTCACATGGTCATCCTCTGTGTGTCTGTGTCCCCATCTCTTCTTCTTATGAGGATACCAGGCAGGTCGAATTAGAACCAACCCTACTGACTTCGGTTTGATTTAATGACCTCTTTTAAGACCCCAACTCTAAATAAAGTCACATTCTAAGGCACTGGGATTGTAGGACTTCAACGTATGAATTTGGAAGAGACACAGTTCAGCCCATCATGGATTTATAAGCATCACAAGCCTCTTACCAGAAATGAGGCACCTGCAGGTCACTTTCCCTCACTGAGCTTCACATCATGCTCCTCACACTTCCATAGGGGGAACAATGTCTGCTTGGCAGAGCCATTATCCCAGAAACCAGCTGCTGCCAAGAACAGCCAAGAGCGGGACGGGGGTAGTGCCAGGAACACAAAGCCCTTTACCAGGTAAGATGCCTCACGCAGATCATTTCAGTGGGTCCATGCTGGAGGCTGGGACAGGCAGAATCCTCTGCACCGTGGGGCAGGTGCATCTCTTCTTCATTGCTGTCTCCTGGTGTGGGACACAGTCGGGGCTCCAACATCTGCTGCGTAAATTGCACCTCTTACACACACATACACACACACACACAGAACAGCTTCGCCTTAGGAGCCAGAGGCAGACCCCTTCGCATCCCTTCCTGTTGAACAATGGTATCTACAGCATCAATGAATATGCTAAAGATGCTCATTATAAATGAGCAAGTGCTAGTCATCGGCCAATTCATTAATAACTGACCTGCGATGGGTGGCAACTCGCTGGGGCTTTTCGTGCAGTTTAGAAACTCCAGGCTGTTGAGGCAGACGGTAAGTTCAGAAGCCCCAGGGGCCCCAGCTGATGATGGCGACTTCCTCACACTTCACTTTCACATACAGCAAGTGACGCAGGCTTCCTCCGGCGTAACCTGCTCCAAGATCCCACTTGGTAGGATTCCAGAAGCAGACGTAGTTCCCCATTTAAACTACTGGTTTTTCACATACACCATGAGGCACGACTGACCAAAATACTGGATGGATCTCTGTTGGGGAAACTAGATGTTTTAGTTACTTGGAAGAGCCGGCAAAAGTAATCTACTTCAACCAGCACAGTGGGTTTACAGATTACAGTCAGCTGCACGCGGTCACAACAGACCTCTCAATACGTATGGGGCCAAACCCACTGGAAGCTCACTTCTCGCTCAAGCAGGAGTGCATGGAGGGCAGTTCTTGCCGCAGATGGTGGCGACTCTGGGACCTGAGTGAATCCCATCATCTGCCCCATGCGGTGGACTCACTCGTGTGCTTCCAGTGCAATAAAGGGGGAAAGAGTGGGGAGGCCCAGTGCTCTTAAGGACTTAGTCCCCAAAGCAAAACACGTCCACTCTGCCCCTTTTCCATGATGCAGCACGTCTAACAATAAAGGAGCTGGGACATGTGGCCCAGCGTGTGCCGGGCAGAGGGGTCCATGCGTGAGTGACCAGCTCACACTCCTGCACGCGAAGCTCTCTTGGCAATGTGGCCTCTCTCCAGCCTTCACCTGAAGGGCCCGGAAGGGAAGTGGTTTGTCGAACCTGAGTCATTATTGTCAATGTTCCCCCAGCTCAGGACAGGAGGCAGAGGCAAAGGTGGAGGCACCGAAGCTGCCTCTGTGCTGGCTCTAGGGAAGCCCCTCTCACTCACGTCATTCTGGACTGGATGGGAAGCCCCATGCTCACAGCGCCCCCGCTCCAGGCCCTGCCCATGCATGACCGAGGCAGAGGCACCCCTCAAACTGCGGCCTCCCCTTCGTGGAACAGCCCTGCCCTCACAGGCACCTGCCCCAGTCAGACAGTGCAGACCCCGCATGTGGGCTGCAGGGCGCCCTGCAGGCGTTGGGGCTCCCACCCTTTCAAGCATCACATGGGGAGGGAATCTACTGAGCTCTGAAGAACAAACTTCTGAAAGACTTTGGTGCCTTTTTGGTAAGGTGTCCTTCTCTTGCAATTCACCACCTAAGTCCCCTCCGAATGTAAAAGCCCTGCTCAGGTGCCCCAGAGCCCTGTCAACATGGGCACTGTGGAAATAGGCCACTTTCTCTACCCTCTCTCCCAGACTCCTCCGCCCTCTTCCAATCCCCTTTCAAAGATGACAGTTACATAAGTGGATTCCTTCTAGCAAATAACAGCTGGTGTTGTGCTGGCAAGGAACGTCCAGAAATAAAATTTCAGCTGAAAAGAATGCTGAGAAGTTCCAGCTGATGAGCTGGGAAAGGAAATGTTTGGGGTAAGAGGGACTGCCGATGTTACTGGCGCTGCTTCTTCTCCCCGTGAGGGTGCCCTTGGTGATTCTCCTGTCTCGGGCTGGGACCTGGCATCTCCTGCTCCTCCCCCATCCCTCCCCATCAGATGCTAAGAGCTGGGGCTTGTTGAGCCCTGTCCCTGTGCCAGGCATAATGTTCAGTAGTTTGTACTCATGAGCTCATTTAATTCCTCACAATGACCATGTAAGCAAGGTGTGCCCATCTACAACTAAGAAGGGTGAAGCACAGATAAATTGAGGAGCCCCCCCACGGGGAACAGGAAGTGTCACCTCGGTGCTTGAACCCAGGCAACCTGGCTGCTGCAGGACACACAGCCAGTGAGCCCAATCCTGTACTGCTAGTCTGTGTCCTGTCAGTTTCCCAAATAGTAACTCACAGCTGAGCCTTCCTTTCTAGCCTCCCCTCTCCACTCCTGGACTGTCATGAAGATCTCACAACTGAGGGTTCTGTCTCCAGCCTCCACCCACTGTCGTCCATAGACCGTGTGCTTGTCCAGCCACTAGAAAGATTCGAATAAGCACTCATGTAATTATCAGTGCAGAATGTGGAAAGTCATAAAGGAAGCTGGTCCAAACCAAGCCCAGTACAAACCGAGCCCAGTCCAAATGTTCATCATCCACAGTAGTTATGCCATAAACAGAAAATCAGCAGCTGAACCTCAGTTCCTAGGAGAAATACAAGGCTAGGTTCCTACAGGCCTCTGGTCACATTCTCATCAACAATCAGTACATGACCTTGTTTCATCTGTGTTTCTGTTTAGAGATGCCTTGTTTAATGTATACTATTAATTATATTATGTATACTATTGATAACACTCAGAGCCAGCAGCGCCAGAACAAAGCCTGCTTGAAGCCTCTCTGAGACACATATTTTCTCTAAAGGCACATCATGGCCTTCCTGCACTTGATAGCACAGCTCCTCAGCACTGAGCTTGTGGGCCATTCTAAACAGCCAAATTACCCACAAAAAGCATTAAAATATGGAAAAAGTGGCACTAAATAGACCTTAAAGCAACACATTTGTTTACGGCGTGGGCCGGTGTGAGAAGGCAGGCAGAGCTTTGCTCCACCTGAGCTGGGAATTCAAATCTCTCACCCCTCTGCACGTCTGCAGATGACTGTGAGAGTGCTGCCAGGGTTGATTTGGGGGTTAGAAGTGGATTTTCAAGAGTAGGTGAATTCACAACTGTGGAATCCATGAATGATAGGGATCGACAGTGCTTTGTTCTAAGCAGGTCAGTGGGGGAAAGTAAGGACTCACAACGGAGGTTAAAGGTAGAAGGACGATGTGGTTCTGGAGCAGGAAGATGTGGTGCTGGAGCAGGAGTGGGGGTGTTGGTGCAGGAAGACGTGGTGCTGGAGCAGAAGGATGTGGTGCTGGAGCAGGAGGGCGTGGTGCTGGTGCTGGAGGAGGTGGAGATGGTGCAGGAGGGCGTGGTGCTGGTGCAGGAGGAGGTGGAGATGGTGCAGGAAGACGTGCTGCTGGAGCAGGAAGACGTGGTGCTGGTGCAAGAGGAGGTGGTGCTGGAGCAGGAAGATGTGGTTCTGTAGCAGGATGTGGTGCTTGTGCAGGAGGATGTGGAGATGGTGCAGGAGGACGTGGTGCTGGAGCAGGAAGGCATGGTGCTGGTGCAGGAGGAGGTGGTGCTGGAGAAGGAGGGTGTGGTGCTAGAGCAGGAGGGTGTGATGCTGGAGCAGGAAGACATGGTGCTGGAGGAGGAGGATGTGGTGCTTGTGCAGGAGGACATGGAGATGGTGCAGGAGGACATGGTGCTGGTGCAGGAGGGCATGGTGCTGGTGCAGGAGGAGGTGGTGCTGGTGCAGGAGGATGTGGAGATGGTGCAGGAGGAGGTGGTGCTGGTGCAGGAGGGCATGGTGCTGGTGCAGGAGGACGTGGTGCTTGTGCAGGAGGGTGTGATGCTGGAGCAGGAGGATGTGGTGCTAGAGCAGGAGGGTGTGGTGCTAGAGCAGGAGGAGGTGGTGCTGGAGAAGGAGGGCATGGTGCTAGAGCTGGAGGGTGTGGTGCTGGAGCAGGAAGACGTGGTGCTGGTGCAGGAGGGCATGGTGCTGGTACAGGAGGAGGTGGTGCTGGTGCAGGAGGAGGTGGTGCTGGTGCAAGAAGACGTGGTGCTGGAGCTTCTGGAGCAGGAGGACATGGAGACGGTGTAGCAAAGTGTGGTGCTTGTGCAAGAGGACATGGTGCTTGTGCAGAAGGGCACGGTACTTGTGTGGGAGGGTGTGGTGCTGGTGCAGGAGGAAGTGGTGCTGGGGCAGGAGGGCGTGGTGCTGGTGGCAGGTTAAGTGCACTCAGAGCTTCTGCTGGGAGAGCGTATGGAGCACATGGAGATACCCTGAGTCCAAACCACCCACCTCCCAAAGCCTGTACTCCTGTGACTTAGCCTGAGTATTCCCAGCGTGGTCCACACCTGCCACTTCTGGCTCCACGCTTGTTCTCGGCTCCTCCACTCCAATCCCAGACTCCTCTACCTCCCTCCAGGGCTCCATTGTCCATCTCAGAGCTCAGCCCCTGCCTCCCTGTGGTGATCCAGGCCCTGCTTACAGCTGGGCTGGAGGCTTCAGAGGTCATTGCCCCAGCCCTCCTGCCAAGCCACACCCAAACTACCCCTCACTTACGGGGCTGCAGCATGTCAGGTGGCAGACACGTGAGAAATTAGCCACTGCCCCCTCCCTTGAAGCACAAATCCCTTCCACCACACACATCCCCCTGTACTGGAAAGTTCCATAACTACTTCATAACACACCCCTCTACTTCCACGTCCCTTAGGATTGTCTTAGTCGGTCCAGGCTATGACAAAATGCCTTAGACTCAGTGGCTCGTAAACAACAGGAACTCATTTCTCATAGTTCTGCAGCCTGGGGAGTCCAAGATCAAGGTGCTGGCAGTTCCGTGTGGTGAGGGCCACATCCTTCTCCCTATAACCCCACGCCCTGGAAGACAGGCAGAGCCTCTCTCAAGTCTCTTTCATTAGGGCACTGACAAGGTCTGGCTGTGTCCCCACCCAAGTCTCATCTTGAATTGTAGCTCCCATAATTCCCAGATGTCATGGGAGGGACCCGGTGAGGGATAACTGAATCATGGGGGCGGTCTTTCCTGTGTTGTTCTCATGACAGTGAATAAGTCTCATGAGACCTGATGGTTTTATAAAGGGCTGTTCCCCTGCACACACTCTCTTGCCTGTCGCCATGGAAGATGTGCCTTTGCTTCTCCTTTGCCTTCCACCATGATTGTGAGGCCTCCCCAGCCATATGGAACTGTGAGCCTATTAAATCTCTTTCCTTTAGAAATTACCCAGTCTTGGGTATGTCTTTATTAGCAGCATAAGAACACACTAATACAGGCACTAATCCTATTCATGAGGCTTCTCCCTCACGACCTAATAATCACCTCCCAGAGGCCACGCCTCCTAACACCATCCCATCAGGTGTTGGCATTTTAACACAGAATTATGGGTGGGGGTGCAACATTTGTTCCGCCCCCCATAATAGCATTGATATTTAAGGAAGAGAGAGAATCAATTTCCCTCTAACTTCCACTCATCGATCCTAATGGCTCTCTCAGTGGACACCCAGAAATGGGATTTGGGAACAGCCACTCTGTTCCTTCACAGCTCTCCCACCTCCCACCACTCAGAGCACTTCTGCACCCTCCCTACCTCCCCTGCTCCGGTTCTGAGTCCAGACCTTTAACCATTCTTGCCATGTTTCTCTGCTAGGCCCAGAACAGAACCACAACAAATCGAGTGTGGTCAGCACAAAACAAAAACATGGCCTCCCCAG